CGCCCCAACTTTTTCGCGCGGTCTGTCCTGTGCCAAGGGACGCCCATCTCCGGAGTCGGCAACGCTCCCAACAGCAGCTTGCCCTCTCCTCCCTGGAGCTAGTGCGGGCTGCGTGAGCCAGGATCCGGGGTGTATTTGAGCTTTCCCCCGCGCTCAGGATTCGCTCCCGCCTTGGAGCCCACCCGCGGGAGGGAGTGAATTCCGGAGGTCCAGGCCTCTTACAACGGAACTCAAGTCGGCCCGCATCTTTTCTCTCCGAACCCGGGTGCCCGTCGAGGGTCGGCTCAGCGACCCGCCGGGCGGAGGATCGGGGCGCTCCGAACCGCGTCGCCCCGTCGGTTGCTGCGCGCACCATGGCCGGCTGCTGCTGCCTGTCCGCGGAGGAGAAAGAGTCGCAGCGCATCAGCGCCGAGATCGAGAGGCAGCTTCGGCGGGACAAGAAGGACGCGCGCCGGGAGCTCAAGCTGCTGCTGCTGGGTGAGTGACAGCGTCTCTTTGACACCTTCCCTCCCCGCTGCTTCCCTTGCCGGGATCCCTGCCGGGCGTGGAGCTGAGAGAGGTGCAACGTGGTTTCTTCCAATCCCGGGGGCTTACCTACGCCTTAGGCGCCTGTCCTTTGTACCTCCAACTGGTCGACTTTCGTTACCCCCATACAGGGTTGAGACGGAACACTTGACATATGTCAGCCAGCTATTCTGGTTAGTCTTTTTCTCTAAAGCCTCGACCTCCCCCACCTCCGCTGCCGGCACCCATAATTTCTGCCGCATCCCATTTTGGATGTTCTGGTCGTTGTTGGGGAACCGCCTGATACACCTCTTGGGTTCAGCTTTGGCTTCTGCTCTCTCAGCTCTAAATTGGTACAGTTGACTGAGCGCTTACCAAGTGCCAGGCTATGTTAAGTTCTGGGTATCACCGCCAGTAACGCAGGCAGGTCACATCCCCATTTTAGAGAATTAAAAATGGAGACGCGGGAAACTGGTGAACTTGCTTTGAGGAAGGGCAGCAGATACCAGGTCAGTCGTGGGGGTGAAACCCAGGTGCGGGCCACTCTCCTCACTGTGACCCCCCCTCTGTTTGCCTCCGTGGCTCCCTCTGGCAAGGCCTTTCTGTTTGCAGCAGGCCCAAACCTCCCTTGCCCAGTCAATTCAGTGCGTGCTGGTTTCTAGGGTTTGGATTTTGTGGCCTCAGCTGCCTCAGCTAGTTCATCGGGCTCTTTTGGTCTCCCTGAACAGCCACTAGGTAGAACACCCACTTTCAAAAACAAAAACATTTAAGGTTTGTCCAATTTATGCCCTAGGGAAAGGAATCTATTTTTCTGACTTTGTAGAACCCCGTTCAATCCATTTGCTCTTTGAGGAATATTCACCTTTTCTGTCTTCTAGACTAGGATATTGGCTTGTCAAATCGTCCTAGATAGTTGCAAGTATTTCAATTTTCTTTTCATTTCTTCCAGACAGGAAGTCTCTAATACCGGTTTATTTGTTTTTAATATAAGGAGTCACCCTCCCAGAAAACTTAAAGAGAAGTCTATCTAGTTAGAATAGAGGTTTTTAGTCAGTGTTGCCCTGGGCAAGGAAGCCTTTGCTCTTATTTCCTGGATTTAGAGGGGAAGGGTCTGGCCTTCCCCAACCACTCCCACTGGGTTAAGTGTCCCAAGCTAAATTGAGCTGCCCACCCAAAGTTCATGCTGCAGCCTGTCCCCCCCGCCACCCCTACTCCAATGGAATTCCCTGCCCGGAGTCCCTAAGACTGCTTTCAGGACCTGTGCAAGCTGGGAGGGCAGACTCTCCCACCCCCACCCCCACCCCCACCCCTAGGAGTGCCCAAAGGGGCAGCTGTGCGTAGTTGTGTAAGAGCTTGGAAATGTGGGCTGAGGGTCCACAGGTGTGCCCAGGAAGCCTCACTGGGGAGAGACGGAGCCTGGGTGGGGAAGGAAAGGGATTCTGCCCATTGGCCAGGGTGACTCTTTCATGTCTGGCTTGGAACTCTGAGGGGTCTGAGAATTCTAAATTGTACTTGGACTTTCAGGTGGTTATAAAGCTACATTTTTTCAAGAGAGAAGGATTGTGTGACAATTTGCTCGCTTGATTAGCACTTTAAAGTAGTAATTATGTGGGCCTCTGTACTCTTGCTGCAGGCCCCACAGATGATAGAGGTGGGCCTGGCTTTAGCTGCATATTTTTTGTCAAAGACAGGCTGAATCCTCTTTCATTTTGAAATATTTTGGTTTGTGTCAGAATGAAATACACTCTCTGGAATATACCAGGAGCTTGGCAAATGCTGGCTCTTTGTATGCAAAAGTAGCAGTAAACTGAGCTATACTGTATTAGTTACAAGCCTAGTCATTTGAAATAAAATGCTTGCATTTACATTCAAACTAGAGGAGGAATGTTTGCAGATAACTTGTTTGCCCTGGAAGTCAAATTTAATCCTGGCAACTAGAATCCTTCTTCGCCTGCCCCAGGCCCTTAGCCTAACCTTCTTCCTATTTCCTCAAGGCAGGACTGCCTGGGCTCCCAAGACTCCCATTTTCATCGTGCCCAGTTGTAATTAGCTCCTCATGTCAGTGCTAGTGACTCAGAAACTGCTGGAAATAGTTTCCAAACCACATGGAGCTGTCCATGTGGTTTGGAACTCCAGAAGGATGGACTTTAAAACCTCCGATTTCTTAGTCTTTAAGGGAGCAGGGCACCCTTCCATTTTTCCCAAAACAAAGGAGGAGCCAATGACTCAGAAAATACAGGAGTCAGGGAAGGGTCTGTGCTGTTTTGTCTGAGGTCATGCAGTTTGAGTGCAAAGTTCTTTCACCTGACTATAGTGGATAGATTAGATGATCCACTGCTCAGATGCCTCAGGTGAAAGCTCCATTTTGCAAATGGGAGTTTAAGATCCTGTGTGATGCATGGAATGACCTGAAAAGCCCACTCTCACCAGGAGGCATGCTTGTACAACGAAATTATCTGAGGATGTTTCCAAAGTCAGTCCATATTCCCCGTTTGTACTTAATAAAAGGATGGGTCAGTGTCTGTAAGAAAGATAAAAGTTGCCCTGTAGTTAGGGCTAGTAATTGCGAGATGTCAGTGTGATGCTTTCTCAGCAGGAGATGGGAAATAAAGCCGGTGGTGGACTTTAGTAGGAAGAAATTCCTTATCAGGAATTTTATCCTCAGATAAAAGTAGGATAATAAGAAGCCTGATGAGTACTATTCAGTGTAGGAAGAAAGTGTCTGGACAATGGCAATTAAATGGGGAGAAATGTGATCTTTTATTATTATTATTATTTTAGTATTAAATGGGGCTTGGTGAACTGCTACTCATTAATTGAGTTGAGTGTCTCCAGCAACTCTGATGGCTTAATTTTAGATGGAGACCTCATGTTGGAACTACCTGGAAGGAATGTTTATCGAAGAATTGGAATTTAACTTATGTCAGTGTAAGAGTTAAAAATGTAGGTTTTTTGGCCAGACACCTTGGATTCAAACACTGGCTCTATCCTTTCCTCACTGTGGACTAAGTTCTCAGCTTTGTTTGGCAATGAGCTATTGGTGTCAGCTATCATAGCTTCATTTTTGAGCATTTTTTTTTTAGCTACCAGTGAGGTATCATTTTCCATTTTAATTGATCAGTTATAGGTTGCATAGCAGTTTGTTTAAACAATCCTGTTAGTGCTTTAACAGAAATGTCTTACTTTGAGTCTCCCTTACTGATTTCTGAGCCATAAGCTGGTTTTAAAGTCTCTCTTCCTGCTTGCACCAAGTGTGGAAAATCCAAGTCCCAGAAAGTTTTACTGCATTGGTTATAACAAATAACCAAGAGCTATCATGTTCTGGGCTGAAGTCTGTTGGAGGAAATGGTGCCAATAGTATGGTTTCTCGGTAGATGGTGACAGAATTTTCTGGCTGTGTGAAGAGGAAAAGGAGTGAAATGGTTATGTATGCCCACGTTCCTTCCTTCCGCTTTGCTTAATCCAATAGGCTTTTCCAAAGTGCCAGGCATAGCGCTCAGTTCGGGGGATCATTTCCAAGCATTGAGTTAGAGGTGCTTTTTCACAAGTAACTGTTACAAGGAAGATGGTCATAGATGCTTAAAAGAGACTGCAAGTTGTACTGGCAGAGTGTGAAGGGGGAGCTTTTGGAGGAGGGATCCTCTGAGTGGGGCCTGGAAAAATGGGGAGGGTAGGATGCTGGTGTCATCATATGGGGGCTTGTGCAGGACATACGCAAACTTCTCCCAGCCTACCAAGAGAAATTTCTGAGGACACTAAGTGGTGTTCTTAGGACCTGGGATAATATGAAGGACCCCTCAGGGGCAGATTTCATTGAGTTTTGGTGTTTTAACTATTTTTGTGACGACTGTGTTCACTACAAAAATAGATGTTAATGTAAAAATGCTTAGTTTCTGTGCTATAATATGCTTCGGGTAGGAGGACCATGGGATCATGTCTGTGGCTTATGTCCATCCTGGCTAGAATAAACCAACCTCTACAGATAGCCTCTTCCATCCACGACACAGCAGTCCATAGAGGCCTCTCAAGGGACAAATGCAAGCCCTCTCTCTTTATTCTGCCTTTAAATGAATACAGAACTTTTCAGGTAATGCCTTTATGCCTTTTCAAATAAGCTTTATTGAGGTAAAATTTACATACAATAAAAGTCGCCAATTTTAAGTATACAATTTGATGTGTTTTGACAAATGTGAACAGTTGTGTAAACATTAGCACAATCATGATATAAAACATTTCCGTCATCCCCAAAACTTCCCTGTGCCTCTTTGCAGTCAATCTCCTCCCCTAAATTATTATTATTTTTTTTATTTGGGAACAATTTGTAAGGATAAATATAGCACAAGAAACCACAGGTATACCTTATTCCCAACCTATTGAAATTTTATTCGATTTTCTT